TTTAAATTAAGAATACAGTGATTTGAATATCATTTTCTTGGTTCTTTTGTATAAATAGTTAAGAAATATGGAGTGACTTTTTGTTATCTTTGCGAAGTAGTTTTGATTTGAGCTCAAAGTTATCACTAATATATTATAAAAAAATTATACTTAGGGTCTGTTCACTTCAACTTAATTTCAGTTCAGTTCAGCTCTAATCAGTTCAGTTCAGCTCCTAATTTCCTTTCTCATAAATATTCATTTCAGCTCTATTTAGTTCAGTTCAGTTTAATTAGCTTCAATTCATTTCATTTCAGTTCACTAAATGTTAACAGACCCTGAGTCAATTTGTCTTTTTCAAATTAAAAGATTATTGTAGGAATAATACTAGTAATTGTCTACAAGACTACTACGTCCTAGACTTTAGGGTACTACTTGATCAATTATTCAAGGTAATTTCGTTACCTTAGCTTGACTCGTGATCCATTATTCAAGATTTTTTTTTTTTCATTTGGTCAAGAAGGACAAAACATGACAATTTGACAATGAATAACCACCCATTGTTCCTTGTATTACAGTTAGACATGAAGTTTTTTTTTTTTTTTCCTTTTCATTTGGTCAAGAAGGACAAGAACATGACAGCTTAACAAATGAATGACCAAGAAAAGAAGATGAACAGACTACAAGTAATCAATCAATTTGGCTTATAGGCACAAGTTGTTACCCTATTTATGGGACGGGTTAGTTATTAATAAACCATATTCCCTCTGTTTCACAATTATCATAACATTGATTTACACATATATAGACTCTATAAATTTTATGAGATTAAGATGTGAACAAACTTACAAACATAAAATATATTACGAATTTATAATTATTATATTCTAAACCACATCAATTAAAAAAAAAAAAAAGGAGGCTTTCGTTCTTATGCTTTTGGGATCTAACTTTATTACTCCCTTGATTTTCAGTTAATCTATCATTTTAATCATCGAAGGGTTGAATTTCAGTTAAGCCTAAAGACCAAAATATCAAACGAAGCTCATCCATATTGACTAATAATAAATTAATATTATTGTAATAATTCGCATGTGAAGTTGACTAATTACTAGTACTGTGTACCTTTCAAATAAAAAAAAAATAGTAAATAAATACAATTAAACCTACTCTTAAATTTTTATTTTGTGGCCATCTTCTTACGTCAACGATACTGTTAACGGTTTATTGTGGACTCGACAATTCCCATTGAAGAGGGGCACGCACTTGCTCTACAATGTGACTTTTTTGGATGGCGCTACGTGACACCTTTCTCAATTATTTCATTTTATGTGCTTAAGAATATGGATTGGACAAGATTTGATCTCAAGATTTCAAGTTTTAAAACTATATATATTGGTAGCCACTTAGCTATACCATATTTTATTAAATTTAAATATAATTAAGTAACTCGAAGCATCGCCCGAGGCCTAAAAACTAGTTGTAAAATTATAAATAGTACAGTGTATTTTTAAAAGTAATTATAGTCTTTATATGGAGTGATTTAAATACTTACAATGGTTACATCCTTATTTGTTACATGAATCTGATCATCTTATCTACTTCGAGCATACTCCTCCGTATTTTATTCGTTGCTCCATTTTTTTATTCACGGAGTTTTTACAAAATTTAGTAGAAAACAATAAAATATGAATGAAGTGCTAATGGTTTTAAAAAAATAAAGTATGAAAGTTAGGAGGAGAAATATATAATATGAAAGTCTTTAACTATGATAAGGAAGTAATAAATAAGGCTGCAAAAGAAAAGTGGAGGAAGTAATTAAATATGGAGGGATGGTATGTTTTAGAGTTTTACTAATCTGTTTATTTTATATATATATTTTTTTTTTTGACAAATACTCTTTTAGTTTGCACGTATAAAACTATTTTAAATTGGCTTTTTTTTAAAAAAAAAATTATTTTTGAAATTATTTTTTTATATTTTTTATAATAATAATAATAATAATAATAATAATAATAATTATTATTACTATTATTACTATTACTACTATTACTATTACTATTACTATTACTATTATTATTATTATTATTATTATTATTATTATTATTATTATTATTATTATTATCTCTTTCCTTTTTGTCATGTTTATGGCTTTATTTACTAAAATTTAGGAGAATAGACGCGTCCTATATTTTGGAATAATATAATAGTGAATCACATTACATGAGTTTAATTTACAACTAGAATATGTTAAAATACTGCGTTCAAATAATTAGTGTTAAAGTGGAGAAAACGGCTTAGGCTTGCATTGATTATACGACTATATATATATATATAATAATAATAATAATAATAATAATAATAATAATAATAATAATAATAATACAAAAGGAAACCTGACAAGCCTAAAATCCTAACAAGATAGACTTAACATAAATACAATATTAACAATTATAAAACCAAACTGACTTCTAATAATACACCCCATCAAGTTGGAGCATGTAGATCACGAATGCTCAACTTGCGTAACAAAAATCCAAACCGTTGTCATTCAAAAGCCTTCGTAATAATATCTGCCAACTGATGATTCGTCGAAACGTATTAAGTAGAAATATTACCTTTCAACAACTCATCACGTACAAAATGACAATCTACCTCATTATTCTTCGTACGATCATGAAACACCGGATTCTTAGCTATATGCAAGGCCGAATGACTATAACAAAACAACTGCATAGATTTCGAATGATCAACACCAAGAGCAAACAACAACTGTTTCAACCATTTAACCTCACAAGTAGTGACTGACATAGATCTGTATTTGGCTGAAGCCGAAGATCGGGAAACTGTAGGTTGTTTCTTAGTCTTCCAAGAAACAGACAAATGACCTAAAAACAAAAAATAACCTGACCAAAGGAACGTCAAAAAAGACACGCCGCCCAATCACTGTCACAAAAACTCCGTCGGGTGTAAATCCTTCATAGGTCACAATAAGATGCCTTGTCCCGGACCACCCTTATGGTACCGTAAGACACGAATAACCGCATCCCAATGAGAAACTTGCGTATTACTCAAAAACTGAGCCAAAACATGCAATATCAACTGCACAGCAAGCACGCACACACGCACCACAGAACAACACGATACACCAAAGCGTAGCACCACAACACCACGCAAACAACAACAGCGTACCACAATAGCAGCACATCACAACATCAGCGCACCTACGGAGCACCAAAAAATCTCAACATACGCACACCACAAGGCAGCGTACAACACAACACACATACACAATATGCGCACTACAAAGGCACAAACTAACCAAAAATTAGAGATTGTAAACCTTAAATTAACCAAACAGAATTTTGTGAAAAAAAAAATTGAAGCCCTAATCTCACTAAGAAATTAGTTTGTGGGGAAAAAAAAATTGAAGAACAAACCAAGATCGAAAAAAAAGTTCTCTAGAAATTAGAAGGCTTAGATATCATGTTAAAGTGGAGAAATATGTGGAGAAAACGGCTTAGGCCTTGCATTGATTATAAGACAATATATATACACAATACGAAATAGATTTAATATAAATACAATATTAACAAATATAAGACCAAACCGACTATGAGAGTGATTTACATTTTTTTTTTTTTTTTTTTGATGTTTTTGAGAAATTTCAGCTTATAATATTGAAGTTTCTTACATTTTCTTTGAAATCTAAGTGTCTAATCCACTTTTTCATTATTGGAGTTTTATCCAAATTGCTACGAGTATAGTGTTCCACTTTCAAGTTTCAACTAATCGTAGTACTTTAGGAGAGGACCGTTTACCACATTTTGCTCCCAAAAAATATCAAATAGAGCTTATCTTTTATCTTATTGTGGAAATGAAGCATGCGTGCTAATGGAGATGTAATTATTCAATGACTTTATACAATTATTTTGAATAGTCAAATATGTTAGTTTTCTTCTTCCTTTAACGTGGAATAGTTAATCCCTATTCACATATACATGTGGATAAAAGATGTATGGATTAAGATTGAATTCATAGATTACTGCATCACACCCAATCAAAACTTATAAAAGTAAAAATTCTCTTATAAGACGAATCTAATGTAAAAGACGGCATACTAATCCATAGTATCGCACCTAGCTAGCTCCACCACCAGCAAACACCCTGATTGTTCCAAATAGAAAAACCACAACTCACCAAGCCCATAGTTCCATACAATGCTCCACTAGTGGTGTTCTGCATTATTTTATTGTGGCGGCTTTGACCAAATAGCAATACATTATTAATATTGTGTTATCTCGTCAAAAAATATATATTATGTTATAGATAGCAACAGAATATAAGTTTTATAGATAATGGTAATAACATAATATTTTTTTTATTATCTAATTATATCTTAATAATGGTTTTATTTTATGGTACATATGGTAATAACATAATATTTTTACCCTTTTGAAGCCAAATTACATTCCTCTTTGGAAATTTACACCGGAATTAAGGAGAAAAGAATAAGACAAATAATAATAATTAGATAATGCAATGAGAAGTACAAAGATAGATTAATTATTACTCATGACATGTCATCAATCCTTTGCAAAAAAAAAGGACCAATCACATACTCCTAATTGAAAATTTTTAACCAATCATATTCATTGTAATTTGGCACAAGGATTATGAGTGAGATTAGGTAAAGATGAATGAGAAAACATTAAATATAAAACAGAAAAAGAGAGTTGATTTACTAAAAAAAAATTAACAAAAATAGAAAGAAGGAATGTAATTTTGGAATACTAAAAATAAAAAGGAGGAATGTAATTTAGGGACGGAGGGAGTACTAGTAATAATTTCTTGTAAGTTGTAACACTCCAAGTTTTTTATAGATAGCAACAGAATATAAGGCAACTTCGCTATGACTCGTATGATAACAACCCGTGACCCAATTTACCCTTTTCGTCATATAATATTTATTTATGACCCGAATTTACCCTTTTCGTCTTTTAAAAATTATTTATAGACCTCTGTTAGCTACCATCTGAATCACATTCACAGCAAATATGAAATTAACCAAATTATTCTTCTTAGTATTTTTGGTTCAACTATTTTATGTCATTCCCAAAACTTCTGCTCAATTATTTGAGTTTCTCTATAATTTGTGTGGAGACAATCACTCCACTCCCAATGCTTATCTAACAAACCTTAAAACAACCCTCAATTCTATGTCTTCAAACACCCAAATCACCTATGGTTACTATAACTTCACCGCCGGTCAACAACCCAACAAAGTCGAAGCCATGGCTCTCTGCAGGGCCGATATCTCAGTCGATGATTGTCGTGATTGTGTCAGTTCTTCTGCTTCTAGTCTGCTTTCAGTCTGTCCCAACAGTATGAAGGCGTTCGGGTATTCTGACAACTGTGTAATATATTACACAAACATCAGTCTGTTTCATGTTTTAACAGATAGGCCATTTTGGGCTCTTCGGTTTGATGGCAGAATTACTGCTGATATCCCCAAGTTTAACAGTTCGCTTACTACTTTGATGACCTCTTTGCAAAACAAGGCTTCCTTAGGTAATTCTGTTCTTAAATTTGCTACCGGAAACACGAAAGTTACTGCCAATCAATCCTTGTATGGTCTTGTTCAGTGTAGTCCTGACTTGAATAGGCTCGACTGTGTTAAGTGTGTGCAAAATCTCACTTTGAGTGTCTTCACACAGTATTTTATCACCACTAGTCCTTTATATATGGCTAAAGGAGGAAGAGTGGTTTCGGCTAGTTGCAATCTTCGGTATGAGCTCTATCCTTTCTATAAGAATGTAACTTACATAGCTACTCCACCTGCCTCCAACAGAAATGCCACTACTTCTATTCAAGGTAAGAAAATATGTAGAATTAATTTTTTTTATGTTTTTTTTTCTCTGGTTAATTTAGCTCTCTTTCACTATTATAATTAGTCCTAACTTGTATCATGGATTTGTGTTATGTTTTTTTAGGTGCAAGTAGTAGCAAATCACATAAAATCATTGCTATCGTTGTTCCGATTGTTGGATCATTAGTACTCATCCTTATCATAGCTTCCTTCTGTATCTTTGTACGAAGGAAGAAGCAGATAAAGTTTTCAGGAAATTTTGACAGTAAGCAAGAATTCTTTGTAGCAGTCCAATATTATTAGTAAACTACAAATTTAATCTTGTAATGTTATTTATATAATTTGTATAGAGGAAGAAATGGACACTCTTCAATCCTTACAATTCAGTACTGGGGCAATCAAGGTTGCAACAGAGAACTTTGCTGTTGAAAATGTGCTCGGAAAAGGTGGATCCGCCACTGTTTACAAGGTAATTGTTTAGTAATTGTCTAGGATTTATAACATCAAATGCAAGAGCTAATAAGAATAAATCTTTGTATCAGGGAAAGCTGACTGATGGGCAAGAAATAGCGGTGAAGAGGATCGAACGACATGCAGTTCTAGGGGAAGAGCAGTTCAAAAATGAAATTCTGACCCTAGCAAAGCTGCATCACGGGAATCTAGTGAGACTTCTCGGATTCTGCTTGGAAGAAGATGAAATGCTTCTCATTTATGAGTTTGTCGTCAATAAAAGCCTTGACGCCTTTCTTTTTGGTTAGTATTTACTGCTTAAAGTTGTTCTATCCTTTTATTTTCATTAGTAGTTTGGCAAATCATCTAAGGCTTGTACATAATTACAGACCCAGAGCACCGTGCATCTATGCACTGGGATACGCGGCTTGACATTATTAATGGCGTTGCTAGAGGACTCCTATACCTGCATGAAGATTCACAACAGCGGATTATACACCGTGACTTGAAAGCTGCTAATGTTCTGCTAGACGCTGATTTCATCCCTAAGATTGCAGATTTTGGCCTAGCAAAGTTGTTCAAGGCTGACCAATCTCAAGCAGTGGCAAGCAAAGTAGTTGGTACTCAGTAAGTATCATAACATTAGCAGCTTTTTCCATGTTGGGATTTCTTTTTTTGATAAAATGTTGGGATTACTATTAATTGTTTGAAACTTTAACTTTGAAAGATGACATTGGTTTGTTACAGCGGATACATGCCACCGGAGTATTTGATCCAAGGTCAGGTGTCATTGAAGTCGGATGTGTTTAGCTTTGGTGTACTTGTTTTGGAGATAGTAAGCGGCCAAAAGATTAGCTCTTTCCAAATTGGAGAAAAACAGGAAAGTCTGCTTGCTTATGTAAGTGTTATCATTTATTCTTACACTCAGCTTATGTAAAACTTGATTAACACATATCAAACTAGTTTCTTAACATTAAATTATGATGTCTTAGGCATGGGAAAACTGGCAAGAAGGCAAAGCGTGGAATCTTGTAGACCCTGCACTATCCCCTGCTTTTAGTGCTGAGATACTGAGATGCATACACATCGGTTTGCTATGTGTTCAGAATAACATGGCCGATAGACCAACTATGTCTTCAGTATCTCTTATGCTAAGTAGCAACACTATGACCCTGGAAGCGCCTTTGCAACCAGCATTTTTCAAACAAAACCGTCCCATGCTACTAAGTGAACCTTCACAAGACAATTCCTCAGATCAATCAAATAGCAGATCATTATCAGTTAATGAAGCTTCTGTGACAGAGCTCTACCCTCGATAATAGAGATGCTGCTAATGTTACAACTGTGTCTGCAGCTTTATAATTACAGTATAATTTATTGCAATATAATAGTAGCCAACTGTTGTTACACCATGTGATGATTTGTAGAGACCCTCCCAAAGTGATGCTAAATATGGGAAGTAAAAAAGGAAACTGACCTACAATCATGCAATCACAGGACTTGTTCTCTTCAGCTTAATTTCAGTTTAGTTCAATTCAGTTCAGTTTAGCTCCAATCAGTTCAGTTTAGTTTAGTTCCTAATTTCCTTTTCTCATAAACAATTCAGTTCAGCTGAGTCAGCTCAGCTCAGCTTTAGCAAATTAAACTATTATGTTCAGGGGAAAAAAAACACACACACACACAGAGTGATACTTTTGGATCCACATCAAAGTAGAATCAATTGTTGTGTTAACAAATAATAATGTCTAGCAAAATCAGAAAATCATTATTAGAATCATGCTGTGTTAACAAGCAAAATATTGAGTATAATTATCATTTATTGACATGAAGGAAATAAATTTTGTGTAAAAGAATCCCTATATAGAGTTTTCAAGCATTGTAATCAATCAGCCTTCTAAGTAACAGAGCTTCCATGTAATAGAATTACCTGCCATTCACATTAGTGAACACCTCTGTAAAATGAGCATTACTTGCACTCAAGGCTTGAGGAAGGTTTCTCTTATACGGAAAAGCTGGAGGCGCTGTCAGAGATGGCAGAACAGCTGACTGGCTACTGAGCATAGACAAGATTGATGCAATTGCTGGTCGTCTAGCTGCATCTTCCTGAACACACAATAATCCAATATGGATGTATCTTTCAATTTCAGGGATTGAGAAATTTCCTCCAAGATTTGGATCCACCAACTCTAAACCGGTCCCATCATTCCAGCACTTCCATGCCTTATGAAAACATAACAACAGTTAAAGAGCTTTATCTGTTAAATTTTTCTTGCAGAGGCTGTGATTTCCTTTTTTTTTTTTTTTTCAGGCGGATAATATTTTATGATTAAAGCTTACATGATCTAGTAAGTTCTCATCTTCTATGTTTAGATCAGTTACACTATTCCTGCGTCCACTCACAATCTCCAGAAGTAAGACTCCAAAACTAAAAACATCAGATTTGACTGAAAAATTTCCTGTTGAAGCATACTCAGGAGCCATGTAGCCACTAGCCACTGCAGCATTTGGCATCCGCAAAAAAAAAATAAAAAAAAATATAAAAAAAAATAAAAAAAACCATGAGATTTCATGACTAAGGTTTGGGGGGCTATGGATTTTATCTAGAGGAGGAGATAGGAAGGGATCAAACTTACAATGTTCCAGCAACTCTACTAGTATTTCCTTGAGTTTGGTCTGCCTCGAAAAGTTTTGCCATTCCAAAATCTGCAATTTTGGGGTTCATTTCTCCATCCAATAATATGTTGCTAGGCTTGAGATCGCGATGGATCATCTCGAATCTGGAATCTTCATGAAGATACTGAAGTCCTCTTGCAATTCCCATTACAATCCTTTGTCGAGCTGAGTTTCCCACTTCAAATGGACTCCCCTGTTTGTACCTACAATATCAGCCTGGACAAGAAGTAAGTCATCAAGAAATCAGAACTTTTCACAAATAATTGTATATAATATGCATTTTCCAACATGGCCTTTTATAACAAAGTTCAGGTTGTAACTGAAATCATACAATGTAGAAATCGGTCAGAGCTTTTATTTGGCACAAACTCATATACAAGTAATTTTTCTTCTCCGTCTAAGCAAAATCCATGAACTTTGACAAGATTCTTATGTTGCAGCTTTGCTGCTAAGCATGCCTCACTCTTGAATTCCCTAATTCCTTGCCCTGAGGGACTTGCAAGCCTCTTAACAGCTATAGCTTGTCCATCTGCAAGTGTTCCCTAAATTTGAAAGTGAACCCTATAAGTTGTTTTCCTGACAAGAAGAATTTACTGGTATGAAGTTCAACATAAAAAAAAAGAAAAAAAAAAAAAACAGTTTTTATATGTCACTGGTAGAAAAAATGAAGAAGGCCCCCCTTAATTGCCACCGGTTTAGTCCGAACCGGAGGCAAAAATGGGCTAAAAAATTGGCAGATTTATGAACTAGGAAAAAAGGCACCGGTTCAATTCAAACCGGTGGCAAAAAATAAAGCCCACCGGTTTGAACCGGTGTCGAGCCTTTTATTAAAAAATAACGCTTTTTCATTCTCCACTCAAACCCTATTTCATTCTCCACTCAAACCGTCGCTTCTCATTCTCTCTCGCATCCCCTCCTCTTTCATCCCTGTTTCTCTGATTTTTCATTCTCATCTCCTCTTTCTCTCGTTCTATTTCTCTATTCTATCAATCGCTTTCTCTTTCTCTTTCGTTCTTTTATCTCCTCTTTCTCTCGTTATCCTTTTCTCTGATTTTGGGTTTGATTATTTGAGGTTAGTGTTAAATACCTTGTTTTTTGGGGTTTTATTGTTGTAATATTGTTTGAAATTTGGGTTTTATTGATTTTTATTGGTTTTTTCTGGGGTTAATTGATTTTTGAAATGTTTTGCGTTTAATTAATTTTCGAAATTTTTGGGTTTAATTGATTAATCTGGGTTTTTTCGAAATTTTTTATGATTAATTGATTTTTCTGGGTTTCTTCGAAATTTTTTTGGTTTAATCCACCAAGAACGCATGCATGAGCAAGATAGGGTTTAATTCATTTTTGTTTTTATTTTAATCGATTTTTTTTATTTTAATCGATTTTTATTCGATTTTTTTTATTTTAATCGGTTTCTTAAGCGATTTTTTTTTTATTTTAATCGATTTTAATTTTTTTTTTTCTGGGTTTTTAACTGATTTTCGATTTTCTGGTTTGTTTTAATCGATGTTTTAAATTATTTTAATTCTATTTTTTTATTTTCTGGGATTTTAAACTTATTTTAATCGTTTTTTTATTTTAATCGATTTTTTTGTTATTATAATCAATTTAAATTTGATTTTTTCTGGGTTTTTAACTGATTTTCGATTTTTTTATTTTATTTTTTTCTTTTAATCGAATTTAATTTGATTTGATTTTTTATTTTCTGGGTTTTTTTTATTATTTTTTTCGCAGCTAAGTCAGTTTAATCGACTTATGTTGGATGTTTTAATTGGCGCAGGTATACTGTTGCTTTGCAAGCCCAAAATAGTGCACATAATCGAAGAATCAAGAATATTGATTTAGATGTTGAATGGGTTTTTTTTATTGTGATGTTGTAATTTTTTTTTTTGATTTATTTTGTATTTTTTTTTATTTTATTTATATGTTGTAATTGATCAATTTTATAGATCTATATTGTAATTTTTTTTTCTATTATATACTGTTTCGATTATATTGAATGATAGTTGATTTATATTTTGTCGTTCTTCTTTATTTTAGTCAATATAATTTTTAAGTGAAAAAGACAAAAAAAAAATAAAAATATATTGATTTTTGGGGATTTTTTGGCACCGGTTTGCCAAAAACTTTGAACTAATTTTTTGTGGTCTTTTATGGCTCCGGTTAACCGATGCCAATTTCGAAGTTTTGCCACCGATTCAAACCAGTGGCTTCTTCATCCATTAAATGGCACCCCCCCCCCCACATTGGCACCGGTTCAAAACCGGTGGCATTGAGGGGTTTTGAACCGGTGCCAATTTCCTTTTTTCACCTAGTGTGTTATCCATCAATTACACAAACATACCTTGTAAACACCTCCAAATCCACCTCGGCCAATTTTATTTTCAGGAGAGAAGTGTTGGAAATAAACTATTGCAATCAAAATGAATAATAACAAGAACAAGGAAAGGTGTTACTTTGAATATAGATCTCAATACGTTGTGACGCGTTTTAGGGCTGCCATAGAAGCGTATTTCACCACCACCGGTACGAGGTTCTCAATGACGAATGCTCCCCAAAGATAACACAACGATCCATCAAATCCGTACCCCGAATGAAGGATTGGAATTATACCAAGAACTGCTCAGATCTCTTTTGGAGGTTTAGGGTTTTCGGCCTTTTGTTTATAGGTTTATTATTTGGTGTGTATCAAAGCTTCAAAGGTTTGATATATATATATATATAGGTTATGCGAAGAAATCAAAATAAGGAAATAAAATCTCGAACAAAAACGCATTTTCGAGCCCTTGCCCGGTCGGGCGCGAAGAACATAGGTCAAAAATCCCAGTTTTTGGCTCCGCCCGGTCTGACCGGGCAAATCAGCCCTATCAGGCGCGAGAGGTGGAAAGCTACGGAGTTGTTTGAAGCTTTGCCTGGTCTGTTTTGCCTTGACCGGGCAAGTGGGATACTACGAAAGTACGAAGTTAACTAGCTTGATGAATAGCCTACTTCTCTTCGCCCCACCCCCCAGGACAATTCCGTCCTGCCAGGGCAAGCACGAAAAGAAACTTATCATCAAACATAGCTTTATACATTCGAATCTTTTGACTTGCATTACTCCCAACAAGAAGTTGTCAGTGGCAGCTTTGATAACATCGAATTGTAAGTGCAGATTTTCTACGCTGAACACAGCACAGAGTCTCATCCTTAAATTTCTATCAGACTGCAAATTTTGTATAAGAATGTAACTTATGTAGCTACTTCACCCGCCTCCAGCAGAACTGCTACTTCTTCTGCTCTAGGTCAGAAAATATGAATATAAATTTTGATTCTTTGGTATTATAATTAGTCCAAATCTGTATCATGGATTTGTGTTTTGTTTTTTTTTTTTTTTTAGGTGCAAGTAGTAGCAAGTCACATAAAATCATTGCTATTGTTGTTCCGATTGTTGGATCATTAGTACTCATCCTTATCATAGCTTTCATCTGTATCTTTGCCCGAAGAAAGAAGCAGGGGAAGTTTTCAGGAAATTTTGACAGTAAGCAAGAATTCTAATCTAATAGACTTGTAATATGGTAAACTAGAAATCTAATCTTGTAATATTATAACTTACATGGTTTGTATAGAGGAAGAAATGGACACTCTTCAAGCCTTACAATTCAGTACTGGGGCAATCAAGGTTGCAACAGAGAACTTTGCTGTTGAAAATATGCTCGGAAAAGGTGGATCCGCCACTGTTTACAAGGTAGTTGTTTAGTAATTGTCTAGGATATATAATATCAAATGCAAGAGCTAATAAGAATAAAACTTTGTAACATCTATTATCAGGGGAAGCTGACTGGTGGGCAAGAAATAGCGGTGAAGAGGATCGAACGACATGCAGTTCTAGGGGAAGAGCAGTTCAAAAATGAAATTCTGACCCTAGCAAAGCTGCATCACGGGAATCTAGTCAGACTTCTCGGATTCTGCTTGGAAGAAGATGAAATGCTTCTCATTTATGAGTTTGTCGTCAATAAAAGCCTTGACGCCTTTCTTTTTGGTTAGTATTTACTGCTTAAAGTTGTTCTATCCTTTTCTTTTCATTAGTAGTTTGGCAAATCATCTAAGGCTTGTACATAATTACAGACCCAGAGCACCGTGCATCTATGCACTGGGACGCGGCTTAAAATTATCAATGGCGTTGCTAGAGGACTCCTATACCTGCATGAAGATTCACAACAGCGGATTATACACCGTGACTTGAAAGCTGCTAATGTTCTGCTAGACGCTGAATTCATCCCTAAGATTGCAGATTTTGGCCTAGCAAAGTTGTTCAAGGCTGACCAATCTCAAGCAGTAGCAAGCAAAGTAGTTGGTACTCAGTAAGTATCATAACATTAGCAGCTTTTTCCATGTTGGGATTACTATTAATTGTTTGAAACTTTAACTTTGAAAGATGACATTGGTTTGTTACAGCGGATACATGCCACCGGAGTATTTGACCCAAGGTCAGGTGTCATTGAAGTCGGATGTGTTTAGCTTTGGTGTACTTGTTTTGGAGATAGTAAGCGGCCAAAAAATTAGCTCTTTCCAAATTGGAGAAAGACAGGAAAATCTGCTTGCTTATGTAAGTGTGATCCTTTATTCTTACACTCAGCTTATATAAAACTTGATTAACACATATCAAACTAGTTTCTTAACGTTAAATTATGATGTCTTAGGCATGGAAAAACTGGCAAGAAGGCAAAGCGTGGAATCTTGTAGACCCTGCACTATCCCCTGCTTTTAGTGCTGAGATACTGAGATGCATACACATCGGTTTGCTGTGTGTTCAGAATAACATGGCCGATAGACCAACTATGTCTTCAGTATCTCTTATGCTAAGTAGCAACACTATGACCCTGGAAGTGCCTTTGCAACCAGCATTTTTCAAACAAAACCGTTCCATGCTACTAAGTGAACCTTCACAAGACAATACCTCAGATCAATCAAATAGCAGACCATTATCAGTTAATGAAGCTTCTGTGACAGAGCTCTACCCTCGATAATAGAGATCTAGGTCCACTGAAGGGTATATGCTGTTAATGTTACAACTGTGTCTGCAGCTTTATAATTACAGTATTATTTATTGCAATATAATAGTAGCCAACTGTTGTTACACCATATGATGATTTGTAGAGACCCTCCCAAAGTGATGCTAAATATGGGAAGTAAAAAAGGAAATTGAAACATTGCATCATCATGTATAGACATTTATATGCTACAGACCTACAATTATGCAGTCATAGGGCCTGTTCTCTTCAGCTTAATTTCAGTTCAGTTTAGCTTCAATCAATTCAATTTAGTTCAGTTCCTAATTTTCTTTTCTCGTAAACAATTCAGTTCAGCTTCGTCAGTTCAGTTCAATTCAGTTTAGTAAATCTGAACAGGCCCTTAGCAAATTAAACTATTATATTCAGGGAAAAAAAAAACACACACAGAGATACTTTTGGATCCACATCAAAGTAGAATCAATTGTTGTGTTAACAAATAATAATGTCTAGCAAAATCAGAAAACCATTATTACAATCATGCTGTGTTAACAAGCAAAATATTGAGTATAATTATCATTCATTGACATGAAGGAAATAAATTTTGTGTAAAAGAATCCCTATAACGAGTTTTCAAGCATTGTAATCAATCAGCCTTCTAAGTAACAGAGCTTCCATGTAATAGAATTACCTGCCATTCACATTAGTGAACACCTCTGTAAAATGAGCATTACTTGCACTCAAGGCTTGAGGAAGGTTTCTCTGATACGGAAAAGCTGGAGGCGCTGTCAGAGATGGCAGAACAGCTGACTGGCTACTGAGCATAGACAAGATTGATGCAATTGCTGGCCGTCTAGCTGCATCTTCCTGAACACACAATAATCCAATATGGATGTATCTTTCAATTTCAGGGATTGAGAAATTTCCTCCAAGATTTGGATCCACCAACTCTAAACCGGTCCCATCATTCCAGCACTTCCATGCCTGTATGAAAACATAACATCAGTTAAAGAGCTTTATTGTTAAATTTTTCTTGCAGAGGCTGTGATTTTCCTTTTTTTAATTTTTCAGGCGGATAATATTTTATGATTAAAGCTTACATGATTTAGTAAGTTCTCATCTTCTATGTTTAGATCAGTTACACTATTCCTGCGTCCACTCACAATCTCCAGAAGTAAGACTCCAAAACTAAAAACATCAGATTTGACTGAAAAATTCCCTGTTGAAGCATACTCAGGAGCCATGTAGCCACTGCAGTATTTTGCATCCGCAAAAAAAAAAAAAAAAAACAAAAAACAAAAAAAACATGAGATTTTATGACTAAGGTTTGGGGGGCTATGGATTTTATCCAGAGGAGGAGACAGGAAGGGATCAAACTTACAATGTTCCAGCAACTCTACTAGTATTTCCTTGAGTTTGGTCAACCTCGAAAAGTCTTGCCATTCCAAAATCAGCAATCTTGGGGTTCATTTCTCCATCCAATAATATGTTGCTAGGCTTAAGATCGCGATGGATAATCCTGAATCTGGAATCTTCATGAAGATACAGAAGTCCTCTTGCAATTCCCATTACAATCCTTTGTCGAGTTTCCCACTTCAAATGGACTCCCCTGGTTGTACCTACAATTTCAGCCAGGACAAAAGTAAGTCATCAAGAAATCAGAACTTTTCTCAAAGGAGCTCCCCTAGTTGCTCCCCTAGCTGTATCTAGTATGCATTTTCCAACATGGTCTTTTATAACATAGTTCAGGTTGTAATTGAAATTATACCATATAGAAATCGGTCAAGGCTTTTATTTGGCACGAACTCATATACAAGTAATTTTTCTTCTCCTTCTAAGCAAAATCTATAAAGTTTGACAAGATTCTTATGTTGCAGCTTTGCTGCTAAGCATGCTTCACTCTTGAATTCCCTGATTCCTTGCCCTGAGGGACTTGCAAGCCTCTTAACAGCTATAGCTTGTCCATCTGCAAGTGTTCCCTAAATTTGAAAGTGAACGAATATAAGCTGTTTGTCTGACAAGAAGAAACTATAGGTATGAAGTTTGACAGAAAAAGAAAAAAGCACTAGTTTCATAATATTTGTCAATTACACAAACATACCATGTAAACAACTCCAAATCCACCTCGGCCAATTTTATTTTCAGGAGAGAAGTTGTCAGTGGCAACTTTGATAACATCAAATTGCAAATGTAGATTTTCCATGCTTTCAATCTCTTCAATTCCTGCAGAACATAGCAGAGCCTCATCCATACTTAAATCTCTATTAGACTACAAATTTTGTTTATTCCCCCTAGAGGCTACAAATTCCTAACGATATCTTATGTAGAAGTACCATAATGATAAAGCTAATACTTGAAAATTCTATAGAACTTGATTTGAAGATTACAAAAAGCTCCATTGAGTCCACCCTAGATCTGATTTCCAGAACATGCATATTTGATTATTTGTAAATGTTAGTAGATGAATTACCAGTGGGCTTTCCTCTTGCTTTAAATTTTCTGAAGCACACATAGAAGTTCAAGATGAATGATATCCCTGCAACTCCAGCAACTATAATAACAACAATATATGACGTGTGATTGTTTCCCTGCATCAAAATACACATTTTTTTTTAAAACACGAGTACATAAAAAATATGGCGGTAGCTTCAAAGTTGAAACTAAGCAAAAATGATAACAGCCTACAGAGAAGTTATTAGAAGCTTAGAGTCAGTGAGTCACCTTGGTTGAAATCAACAAAAAGGTATTGCAATCGACAGCTTGGTTGTACAGTTGTCCCTAATTGCTTTCCATTCATCGGAAGCCTATTGAGTCCAGTTCGAAAGCACTTGTTGCACTCTGATGGGGTTAAATCAGGAGTGCAATCAGCATATGCTGAAAGTATTACATTTTCACTAACATAGACACTTCCCATTGCATAAGCCAGGGACATATTATTAACTTTGGCCTTATTGGAGAGGTCAATCAACATGCTTGATAATGGCTGATCAAACTGCTTGTAACCAGGAGGTCCATATTCATAATTGAAATACACAAAATCATCCTCAATGGAGAATATGGAGCGGTTAGCATAACGTAACATACATTGCCCATAAAACACAATTGCTGCAACATGATTTGGACACTTCTGTTGAACTTGACCTACTGCTTCAGTGATGCAGTCTTGGCAAAGCTGGGCAGTGTAGGTTCCAACACAAAGGAATAGGCCATACACTTTATTACTGCCCTCACCCACAGTGAAGTTGTAGAATTTTTTAGTGACTGCTTCAAAGGAGAGATTGGATAGTAGAAGGTTTAAGTTGCTTTGATATATTTTTTCATGATCATAGTGTCCTTCCTCTGAACAAAACTGCTGCATAAAAGTGACTTGATCGTCAGTAACGACCACTTGGAAGTAAAAGATTAAAAGGCAGAGCAGAGACATAGCTTTTGGGATATAAATAGCCATTCACAGTAATTTTCTTTTCAAAAGAAAAGATTGGATAAGATGTATACAGGGCTCAATAAAGCTAGATATGTCCTTAAAGCAAATAACTTCAGATCACTCTGGAGAATCATACCATTCAAACATAATCCTAATATTTAGTTGGTCTTGCAGTCATTTAGCTTAAAAAAACAATTTATTTCCAAATATCCAGTCATAGTCACAACAAATGGAAGCTCACAGGTCACAACAAATGGAAGCTCACAGGTCACAACTGTGCTGCAGAGACAAATATAATAAAAACTAAGAAATTGTTCACTGCTTAATTGTTTTTCTTACCAAAATAGAATGCATGAAGCACGACATTCCAACCTCTATCTCAGAATGCAGCGTAATAAAATATATATATATATATATATATATATATATATATATATATATATATATATATAGACTCAGATGAAACGAGAACTGAAGTCTAGATTTAGCATTAATAAAAACATCAGTCAGATATAGCTGGAATTTTGTTATAGGTCAAAGTCAGTATAGTGTACATTTCCGGAATTCAGGCAATTTACTAATCAGAAAGATAAGTTCAGCAAATGATTTAAACTGAATTTCCTACGGTCTGCAAGATGCATGACTGCATGTAACAAGAGTAAATTTGAGCCTTTCCATCCATCAGACACTCTTAAACTAACTAGTTATCCTTGCACAGAGAAAAATATAGTTAGTGTTCTGAATTCGTTGTGCATAACTTGATCAAAGCAAAGTGCAAATTAATTGATAGACTAGTAGACATTGGAATTTCTTGAAAGTCAAAGCAGCATCGCTGCAATCTTAACTTAATGCTTAGCTAACTTTTCATCTGGGTCAAATATATACATCAATTATTGGACTATATATGAAAGTCAATTAATCTATAATCATGGTGTGAATACACAGCAGTATAACTTCAAGAATCCTGACTGAAGTATTTATTAATTGCAGAGGACTTGTTCAAGAATCCCATTTGACAGAAAATGATATCACAACAAAGATAAGTATTGATGAAATTGTTGAACCAAAATTTTCATAAAAAATGTGGATTACCTCAGCAAACTTCTTGATTTGTTGAGCATAAATTATATGAAATGACCTGAGGACACCGGAGACTGAGTGCAATGACAAATATTGTACAAATGATTTAAATTACAGTTATCACAAAAGAATGTACATCTATTGAAATACATTAAATAATGAAACTGGCCAAAAAAAAAAATTTATTACTTTGCAGAATTAGCAGGAAGGATGGCCTCACAAGTGAATGCCTTTGATCATAGTTCTCCGTCATCATAACATGTCATCACTTGATATGGCCTCACAACTGATTTGATTCCTTCATATAATCTTTCAGTCAATTTGGCTCTCACGCCTTCAAAGTACTGCATTGAATTTGAAATGAACTGTAACTGAAGCAAAATTGCAATTCCGCAAGTCAGTGTACACTGTACGCTAAAGAGATCCATTCTGTTTTTCGTAAAACCACTAGCAGTGGTTGTTACTCTGTTCTATTTATTTAAGGATCCGGAAAGAAAAAAAAATGAACAACAGAATGTCACAGACAAAGAAACCCCCTTAGAAAAGCTAAAAGGATTTGAAACTAACGGGTTGCAGGGCCAGAAAACTGAAGTGCAGAGTGAAACTAGGAAAAATTCAGCTCTTGCGCAGAAGACTCATGGATTACAGGATTAACTAATTACCAACTTCGAAACCATCAATCAATAAGATATGGATTAACAGTAACAACCACTGCTAGTGGTTGTAAGAAAAACAGAATGGATTAATCCATGAGTCATTACTGCCAAGTCATGGATTAACTAATAAATTAACTAAGTACCAACTTCGAAACCATCAATCAATAAGATATGGATTAACAGTAACAACCACTGCTTGTGGTTTAAGAAAAACAGAATGGATTATCCATGAGTCATTACTGTTAAGTTATGGATTAACTAATAAATTAAGTACCAACTTCGAAACCACCAATCAATAAGTTATGAAGCTGATCAAGTTATATTGAAGCACTTGACAGGCATAGGCAACGAAGACAGCAAGATATAATCTTTTATCTTTTGTAACAATTAATTACAGCCATTTACATCAGGTAAAGTTGATGCAAGACATATAGATGGAGGCGTGCAGGCAAAAGTGCATATCCAGTTCATCCCCCCCCCCCCACCCCCACCCCCTCCTAATGGATATATCATATATACCCTTCCTTTAAATGGAGGTTTAGTTGGTTCAGGGACTGGATGCATAATATCCTCAAGATATGAATAAAAGAGGACCAACAGCCAAAAAAAATCTACAACATAGGAATATACGGCCCCCAGGAATATAATCCACTTGAAACATAGAATTCATATTTACATGAAATAATTCCAGTAAATAGTTTTTAAGCATTAAAATCATCGAGTTGTCTGCTTCCCAAGGCACAGAGTTACCTCCCCTGCATAGTTGTAAACACCTCTGTAAAGCGTGCATTACTTTCACTCAAGGCTTGAGGCATGTTTCTCCTATATGGAAAAGCTGGAGGTGCTGTCAGAGAAGGTAGAACTACTGACAGGCTACTGAGCATGGACAAAATTAATCCCATTGTTGGCCGTCTCGCTGCATCTTCTTGGACACACAATAGTCCAATATGGATGCATCTTGTCACTTCAGGGATTAAGTAATTTCCTCCAAGATTTGGATCTACTAACTTCAAAGCAGTCCCATCGTTCCAGAGCCTCCATGCCTGTGTTGTGATTTGTGAATGTAACATCAAATTTGCTGCAGATGTAAATTTAGTTGAAGTCCAATATAAGAAGAGTATCACTTACATGATTTAGTAGGTTTTCATCTTCTTCTTTTAGTTCAGAGACACTATTCCTATGTCCACTCACAATTTCCAGAAGTATAACTCCAAAGCTAAAGACATCAGACTTAACTGAGAATTTTCCTGTTGAAACATACTCAGGAGCCATGTATCCGCTGCATTATGTATAACACCCCCACAAGTCACAAGTTATGACAAGGAGAAATAATAGCTGAGAAATAGGGAAGGTAAACTTACAACGTTCCAGAAACTCTGCTGGTATTTCCCTGAGTTTGGTCAACCCCAAACAGTTTTGCCATTCCAAAATCAGCAATTTTGGGGTTCAATTCTTCATCTAACAAAATGTTTCCAGGCTTGAGATCCCGGTGGATAATCCGGAATCGAGAATCTTCATGAAGATACAGCAGTCCTCTTACAATTCCCATTATGATTTGTTGCCGAGTTTCCCATCTCAAATGGACTCCCCTATTTGTATCTACATCATCAAACATGACAAAAATTGTCAAGGAATTACAATTTTTCACAAATTGGTTGTAGTAATTAAGCTATTCATCTCCATCATAGATTTTTATAGCAAATTTCAAATTGCAACAGAAAGAAAATAATACCAAAGAGGAAGAGATCAAGGCTCTTGTTCGGCACAAACTCATAGACAAGTAATTTTTCATCTCCTTCCAAGCAAAAACCAAAAAGTTTGACTAGGTTCTTGTGCTGCAGCTTTGCTACTAAACATGCCTCACTCTTGAATTCCCTAATTCCTTGCCCTGAGGGACTTGCAAGTCTCTTAACAGATATAGCTTGTCCATCAGGAAGTGTTCCCTAAAATTGCCATGGAATTGTTAATAATTGTTCCAGTAAGATGTCAAATCTGAATAAGTTTATACATAGAAAGGAAAATGTAAATAATCCTTGAATTATCAGTCAGCTGTTCAAAAATACCATGTAAACAATTCCAAATCCAACTCGACCTATTTTATTAGCAGAGGCAAAATTGTCTGTAGCAACTTTGATAGAACTAAATTTTAAGTGCAGAGTTTCCAAACTCTCAATCTCTTCAAGTCCTGCAAAACACGTCACAGAATCTCATTCATTCTGATTTATGCTGAGATATTTGATAAAATTAATACACTAAAATTTGTCCTGCTTGCGTGAAAAAATAAATAAAAAAAATTAGTACTACAAGACTACAAATTTTTTTTTACCCCCATATTCCTTGGCATATAAGCACAACTAGTAATGTTTTAGCAGATAGACAAATATCTCTTGTAGATGATATATTTGATAAAACTAGTACACTAAATCGAAAATAGTTATTTAATTAACAATGTAACTATAATCTTGTAATTGAAGGTAATACTCATTTATTCATCAACATCCTGTCGGACCTTAATCATTATCCAGGGATAATTTTCTTGTTCTGGATGGTCCTTGAAATTTTACTAATTTATGCTTAAGTTAAATTCAAAGGGAAGATGTGGTAGACGATACTTCTAAACTGTCATTGTCTAAACAAGGATGTATATTAAAGATACTGATGTTTCAAACCACCAAGATCTGTATATTCTCAGTTTAATAAACAGGTTTAAAGTTCATCCCTGAGAAAAGACAAAGGAATTTCTGTAATGTATAAATTCAATTATCTTTCTTGTAGCAATGAATAGACTCTACCATGATATGACATCTCCATTTACAGAGTCGAGTGGAAAATGTACTAAAAATAAAATAAATAACTCTTCCCAGTATCATGAAATTCTATTTCCCAACACATGCATATCTGCAAATTTCATACTTCAGAAGATGATTTACCAGTGGGTTTCCCTCTTTCCTTGCTTTTGCGGAAGCACAGATAGAAGTTCAAGATAAATGATATCCCTGCTATGGAAGCAACTGTGGTAAGAGCAATATATGAAGCACCAAATCGTTTTCCTGCATCCATTAATAAGTTCCTTTCAGATTTTCTTCATGATGAATTTTACTTCATAAACTAATTATGAATGAAAGAAAAAATTTCAGGAAAGACAGAGGAAATGTTTGGAGTTAAGTGCCACCTGGGCTGACATCAAAATAAAAGTATGACAATCGGCAACTTGGCTGCACAGTTGTTCCAATTTGTCTTCCATTCATTGGAAGCCTATTGAGTCCTACTTGTAAGCATCTGTTACAGTCATATGGACTTAAATCAGGAGTACAATCAACATAGGCCACAAGTGATATGGTTTCTCTAACATAAACCACTCCTGATGCATAAGCCAGGGACGCATTATCTGCTATGGCCTTATTGAAGAGGTCAATTAATATGCTCGATAATTGCTGATCAAACTCCTTGTAAATCCGTGGTCCATACTCAAAGCTGAAATGCACAGAATCATCCTCAATAGAGAATATGGGATGGTTAGCATAACGTAGCATGCACTGTCCATAAAACACTATTGCATCAACATCATATGGACATTTTTGTTGAACTTGCCCTGCTGCTACAGTAATGCAGTCTTGGCAAAGTTGAGCAGTGTAGGCAGCATTGCAAAGGAATAGGCCGTACACCTTATTAACACCATCACCTTCAGTGGAGTTGTAGAACTTTTTTGAAACCGCTTCACTCGAGAGATTTGCTAGAAGATGATTTAGATTTCTTTGATATACACTTTCATGTTCAAATTGTTCTTCAGAACAAAACTACTGCAAAAAAATAACTTGATCTTCCGAAACAACAGGTCTGAAAAAGACTGAAAGACAGAGCAAACAGAGAGTTTTTGGGTTAAGAATAGCCATTGACTTTAGTATTCTTTTTTAGAATTTCTGTAGTGAAAAGACTAATGAAGTTTGATACATAGATTTGTGCCCAAAGCAATCAATTTTAACTTACTCTGGACTAACTAATCATACAATAATTAATTGTTCTGTCACTATCTTACATTTTGTTGAAAGTAAAAAAAAAATTCCCAGTCAAAGTTAATATTTTACTAATAGTCATCTGTTCAATTGGTGGCACTTTCCAGGAAATAACCATCACCGACTCAGGATTTCAAAGTGATTAAGTTGAAATGCTACAAAGATGACAATTACTTTAAGCAAAGATGACGAATCAGATAAAAACAACTTTAATTAAAAGCAATAACTCTTATATCTGATTTTGAGTAGATGTTCAATTAATCAACGCTAGTATTACATAAACAAGGTAATTAATAATTCAGATGCTAAATCAGATGATGGGAACTGAAGTTTCTATGCAGCATAAAAGTTTTTTGGTCACATTCAGTTGAAAAATAAACTATTAAGCTAAAACCCATTCATTAATAATGTAAACATATTAATTAGTCAGAAGGGAGTGTTCAGGAAGCCAGTAAATTTAAAATCCCATGGTCTGCATTTCTGCAATATTCCTCCTGGTACAAACAAAAAGAAGAAATGGACCAAACAAAAATTGTACTCCATTTGTTATCAGGAACCTTTTTATTTCTTTGCCTTTCAGATCTTCTACTCCAGGCTGTGACTGCCGAGGATCAAGTCACATACTTAGGTAGCTATTGTGGAGGGGATCAACAATATGATCAGGAAAGTGAATACGCAAATAATGTTGATCTACTATTATCTAACCTCACCTCCAGAGCTAGCACAAACAAGTTCTACAACGTCAGTAGTGGAGAAACACCCAACCAAGTCTATGGCCTTTTCCTTTGCAGCAGTTACACCACTGATCAGGTCTGCCAAGATTGCATCACACTTGCACAGGGTGAGATTCGACAACAATGTCCATCTAGTGTAGCATCTATAGTGTGGTATATAGAATGCATGTTACGCTATGCAAACCACTCCATATTCGCAATCAATGATGAATCTGTACATCGATATATGGAGAGTGGACAAGCAAAGTATAGTCAGTATAATCAAGACTTGACAGACACATTTATCAGCCTCTTCAGCACGGCTACCACTGGGAACTCATCATTAGCATCAAGCACAACAGTTTATCTAACTAAAGACCTGACAATGACTTGTTTTGTAGAATGCACTCCTGATTTGAGCCCCTCATATTGCAGTAATTGCCTAAATAGTGCACTAAGTAAGCTTACGACACCTGGTACCCAATCAGGAGGACTCCTGCAACCAAGTTGCAGATTGATGTATGCTTTCAATGATGCTGGATCTCTTTCACCAGGTACTTATAATATAACTAGAGTATGATATAAGACTTTTTCATCTTGCTCCCTTAAAGTTTCCACCCCCTCCCCTCTCTTCTCTTCTCTCTCTCTCTCTCTGATTTATTCCCTTGCGTATTATGACAAACAAAGATAAACACTCCAATAAACTGTATTTTACATACTGATTGTTTTTGGGAAAAATATAATCTCACTTGCCCAAAAGAAAGAAAACGAACTACTTAATATGAAATATAACTAGAGTATGAATAAAGTAAAACTTACGTCTCTATTTGTGAATTCAGGCAAGGGATATACATAGCCTTGGCTGTTACTTCAGTAGTTGCAGCATCATCTTTGTTCTTACACTTTTTTCGCCTTTTTGAAGAGAAATAAATCCACCCGAAAGCCCATTGGTAAGTTCTCTTCTCGCACTTTCACCTGTTAAAGGAAGAACTGGCAGGTTATTAATGGGATAGAAGGAAATATTAACTTACAAAGACAAATCATCACTTGATGTGCTTAAGATAAAGAAATTTATAACCAATCAGGCTAGTGATACAACCCAAAATAAACACTTTAACAATGATTTTCTGTCATTTCAGGGATTGAGGAAATTGAAAGCATGGAAAACCTGCATTTTGAACTGGATACTATTAAAGCAGCCACTGATGACTTTTCACCAGCCAATAAGCTTGGGCAAGGTGGATTTGGAATTGTTTACATGGTTCGTGTGATACTTATGATGTGATCTTGCAATTCATGCTCTCCCACTATAGATATTCACTTATTTGATATTGTTAAATGACAATGCTGATTTCAGGGAAAACTTGCAGACCAACAAGCAGTGGCCATTAATAGGCTGTCAAATGCTTCAGGGCAAGGAATCAAGGAATTTAAGACTGAAGCATGTTTAGCTGCCAAAATTCAGCACAAAAATCTTGTCAAACTTTTCGGATTTTGTTTGGAAAGGGATGAGATGCTACTAGTCTATGAATTTGTGCCCAATAAGAGCCTTGACCGATATTTATTTGGTAATGTTTACTTTGACACATCTAGGGGAAAACAAGTTCAATGCATAACAATTTCTGTGCAGACATGTGACTCATTTGAAACACCTTCATTCATATTATGTCATCAATCATAAACTGCAGATAAAAAAGAAGCGCAAATTTGAAGTGGGAGACACGTTACAACATCATAATGGGAATTGCACGAGGCCTCTTATATCTCCATGAAGATTCTCGGCCCAAAATTATCCATCGTGATCTTAAACCAAGCAACATATTGTTAGATGGAGAGATGAACCCAAAAATATCAGATTTTGGCATGGCAAAGCTTTTTGGAGGGGACCAAAGTCAGGGGAATACCAGTAGGGTGGCAGGGACATTGTAAGATTTATTTCAAATTGAATTCATTGTCTTATATCCTTATCACTTTATAAAGCAGCTTAATAATATTAACAACTTAAGAAGAAGAATGCTAACCTTGATAAGAAACGTAAAATGTGATGCAGCGGATACATGGCTCCTGAATATGCAATAACAGGACAATTTTCGGGAAAGTCTGACATTTTAGTTATGGTGTCATACTTTTGGAGATTTTGAGTGGTCAGCGGAATAACTTGTTTGATCCAGATATGGAGGCAGATAGCCTTCTAGATTATGTAAGTTAAAAATTTGTAATCAATTATTCATAAACTTTGATTGATTGATTGAATTATTCATAATCATAAGTTCATAACCCCCCTCAACCCCCCCCCAGCCAAAAAAAAAAAAAGAAATAAATAAATTGCTTCCCCGTATGAACTGATATCATATATTGTGATGGCTCATTACAAGGCTTGGAGGCTTTGGGATGAAGGAAATTCTCTGAAGTTGCTAGAGTCAGCACTAGGGAATGTTTCTGCAAAGGCTGAGGCAGAAAGATGTATACAGGTTGGGTTATTGTGCATTCAAGAAGAGCCAGATAAAAGGCCTAGCATTGCATCAGTATTGCTCATGCTTAACACCCAACCTATCACAATTCCATCACCTGTACGCCCTCCTGCTTTCCCTTATCGTCTAGGAAAGAAAGCAGCTCCACGTGAAAGTTATAGCATTCAAGCAGAATGTGAAATCACTGAGTTGAATCCTCGGTAATATGTAAAAGCAGATGCAAGGTGGTTGGCAAACAAAATCTTGTGAATAGTATCAATTAATTTAAGAGCTTAAAAAGCCACTATATATTGGATGTTTCCTTACAGAACTGCAGTTATTGTTTAGTACTGGAAACGATTTATATTTATGATTTATTCTCTGACTTGTGATGTTTTATGAGTTTGATCTGATATACTGTAGTTTATAATGAATGAAACTGGAGCAGAAATTTCAGTAATGCTTAAACTTTACTTGCGTTTTTTTTTTTTTTTTTTTTTTTTCAGTTTTGTTTTATTGTCTTTTGAGGCAGCAGTGATTTCACTGCTTCAGGAAGGTAAATCAGGTGGCTTCTAAGAATGATTTTGCATTGTTTGTTCGTCATATCAAGCAAGCACAAAATAGTAATGAAAGAATATTATCTGCACTTCATGGTTCCATTGTACTAATTTCATCATTATTTATTCCCCATTCCCTAATCAACCATTATGGTGCATATCGTAAGGAAAAAGTATTTATTAGAGATAGTTTAAACATTATTTACCGAGTAATCTTGATGAGGTGATCCCTGGAATCACCTGTCCGAACTAGGTTATCAATTCACCAGTTGCATAATGCAGCATACATACAGGATATCATCCGTGTGCCTATTCGGCTATTTTATATATCAGGACAGACTTCTACAATCCTCTTATCTGTAGCCTTAATGCAGTTGCATTGCTTTGAGTTCATGTTCTCTCTGCAGTAAAGAATCAACATTTTGTCAGGGACGTCACCAGTTATGGAATTGCAGAACCCAAAAACAGAGGCTTGAGCAGTTATTCAGTTAAGCTGTGAGAATTAAGCTTTAGAAGAACAAAAGTATGGTTGATCTGATACATGCTATTCACAGATTAGTTTCCACTGTAATGATTGGATTTGTTACCGATGACGGGGATTGGGGCATGTCATAACACATTTAGAAAAAGGCAGTACCACTACCAGCAGAAAACAAATGGAATCATCCATAGAAGCCATTGAAGCTAAACAAATGCCCAATCAATTCAAAAAATTAGATGTCAGGAACTAAACTTTTTTTTTTTTTTTTTTTTTGACGGGAACTAAACTTAGTCAAACACACATCAATCTTCAGAAAAACTCATAACTTTCAAGTTTTAAGGATGATCAATAAAAAAACTTAAAATTTACTTTTTTTTTGGTTGGTAATAATTATTTCCTGAAAATTTATTAAACTGCAGATTCTGTTTAGCATCAAAATAATAAGTTTGACAGCTACATTAACAATTTTGTCCAGATATCCCAAAATAATTTTGGTGAAAATATTATACCTAGATAAAAGGAGTATTAAGTGGTAGTACTTGTGCCTTGTTATCCTAACTTTAAACTTATTATTATATATACATCACAGAGGCCAATCTTCAGAAACAATCATATACTCCAAAGGGTAACAATTAAAGCTACTCACCCCTGTATGAGAGTTTCTTCCCAATAAAGCTACACGAAGAATGAAACCATTGGCATTCAGCATAGAAACTCCAAATAAAGCAGCCAAACTCCCACTCAGACATTATGACGAACATTAGGTGAGCATTACAGAATTCTGGGTAATTTTATTCAAGCTTCAAATTTGAAAATTAGTTGACTCAGTAGTTTCTGATGCCTTAATTTCCATTGCTCTATAATCAACAATGTTTACAATGTTGCAACTACATCCATTGCCCCCTCTCTGAATCTCTCCTGCTATATATGATTATTTTCTTTAATTCAAGGAAAGATCTCAAAGATGATACCCACTATCAACCCAAATTGATAGAGTTGGTAGGCCCATCCTGAACATTCAGAAGAAAGTCAACAAGTAAAAATAAACTAGAAAATAAAGATCAAAAAACGCTGTAGACAATCTTAGACTATCTAGATTTTGTAACAGGGTACCTTGAAACTAAACATTAGAACATCCTAACTACGTACTTACCATTATATCAATTACATGTAAATTAAGTAGCAGTAAAAGATAGCACAGAACAACTGATATAGAACAGTCAGAATTTAGTCAGAAGCCAAAGGTCTACACTCTCTAAAGCTCTGCTAGGTAGGCTTGGAAAACTCATGCACAATTTTCCCTCTTAACATACTTGTTGATATTCGTGAAAAGCCTGCGTTGACAAACATAATAATAGGATTAAGACTGGTCTACCCTCAAAGCCACTATCGAAACATGTTCAGTTCTTCTATACAGGTCTACAGCTTAAGCTTAAAATCCTAGCGTAATCTGTATTAATTTTGCTGTATAATAATTGATTGACAAACAATTGTTTCCTTTTCTCTATTCCCCTATTCACTACAATCAGGTAATACAGCATGTGAGGTAAGGTTGATTAGTAGATAAATAAGAGTATTTAACTAATGGGAAACTGAATACTTCTGCTCTTTCTTAACAACGCAGCTTACTTAAAATCTGGTACATACTACATTGCCTTGCTGTTTGAAAAATGAACAGATTGACTAACATGTGAAACCAGAACATAATCAATTTCATTCTCTCAATTAATAAATAATCTTTATCATGAAAACGTCACAAGCAAAATAGAAAAAACCATTCGGTAACTTGGTCCTCCAGAAGATTGAGTATTCACACAAGTATTATTGACATTCAAAATAAGACTGCAAATAATGATTTAAGTCTCAACCAATTATTAAACAAGAACATATAAAATGCTGATTATAGAATATAAGAAATCTATGTAGGAAAAAAAATAATCTTAACTTTGACTTGTCGGCTAGTCCCTTTACAATATTCAAACTTTCAGTTGAATGACCAAGTTTAGTATAAATATTTCATAGAATAATTCAAG